ATATATCTAGCATGGCATAAAAACTTGATATGCATCTAAAGTCTATTATATGGTTTATATGACTTAACTTATATGACAATCCATGAGGATTTAAGTTGCTTGAAGCATATACAATTCTTGATCTTGAAGTACCACTTCCTTAGTGCAATTTGTGCATAAATATATCTTGCTATAACTATGAGCATGCTAATATGATAGCAAAAGTTTTCACCTCTACGTGAAGATATTGAACTGACGATTCCAACAAGATCATATGAAGACAATACATCTATTAGAATGATGATTTCAAGGTTCAACATATTCATTCAAGTTAATATGGCTGATTTATTTATCAAATCTCTACCAACGATCTCTTGAAGATGGTGCACAAGATTGGAATGTGAAGACTTAAGTATGTGAATTGATGCTCTCATCAGGGGGAGTTAATACGCATTGTACTCTTTTTCTCTTACAAGGTTTTGTCCCACTGGGTTTTCCTTGCAAGATTTTTAACGAGACAACCAAAAGGCGTATTGTAGATATGTGTACTCTTTTTCCTTCTCTAGAATTTTTTCTCCACTGGGTTTTATTTAATTAAAGTTTAACGAGGCACATTATCCGTTGAATAGACATTCAAGGGGGAGTATATAAATAGAATTCTATTTAAGGTGAATGTCTATATTCTAGAGAGATTCTAGGGTTTGTTACTTGGTGGCTAAGTCACTTTCCCCTATGAATAGAGGGGTTCTATTCCATTGTAAATCACCCCAAAATCAATAAGAATTCTCTCTCTACTTTTATCTCCAATACTCGTCTTATTCTTTTATTGTTTCATACCAATTCTTGCTATATTGCTTTTATTTCGTAACAAATTTACTTTTTTTTGGGGACAGGTTTAAATAGCAACCTATGTATTTTCCTACTTTTAAAGTTAGCACTCGTGCCCTTCAAATTTACACTATTATCAAAATAGGCTCAAGCGCCTCCATCAACTTAGATCCCCAAGAAAGCGGCACCTCCTTGACGAATCCTACCCTTTCACCAAAACCACCAAATGAACCCTTCCCTTCGCCGGAGCAGGCCACTCTCCGGTCACATTTTCCGGCGAACTATATCCACATCACCCAACTGCCAAGAAAACGAACAGAACTTCATTTCAACTCTAAACGAAATCGTTCGGAGCAAACGGAGCTGGAAAATAGCATTAAACAGCTCCATTTCCACAAAACTAAAACCCCATCATGTTGAGCAAATTCTCCTTTTTACCCTTGATGATTCAAGGTTGGCTTTACGCTTCTTCAATTTTCTTGGCCTACACAAGAACTTTCACCATTCAAATGCATCTTTTTGTATTTTAGTACATTCCTTAGTTCAGTCCAATCTTTATTGGCCCGCCACTTCACTTTTACAGACCCTTTTGCAAAGAAAACAAAACCCAAGTTTTGTTTTTGATAATTTATTAGATACTTATAAAAGATTCAATTTTTATCACTCTTTGGGGTNGTTATGTCTTTATGAAAATTTATTGGAACCGATATAAAATATTTGTCGACGACATCTATCATAGAACTAAGTATAGATGGGGATCTTAAGGCTGTCGAGACAGATACAAAAATATTGGCCAAATAGACGATACACAATTCAAATAGAATTGGTTTAACATGAAAGACATGTAGTTTTGGACATGTAGTTCAAATACTTGAAAGTATAAAGTCAATGGTATGTGCAATCAGTTTCCGATATCTTATATATCTAGCATGGCATAAAAACTTGATATGCATCTAAAGTCTATTATATGGTTTATATGACTTAACTTATATGACAATCCATGAGGATTTAAGTTGCTTGAAGCATATACAATTCTTGATCTTGAAGTACCACTTCCTTAGTGCAATTTGTGCATAAATATATCTTGCTATAACTATGAGCATGCTAATATGATAGCAAAAGTTTTCACCTCTACGTGAAGATATTGAACTGACGATTCCAACAAGATCATATGAAGACAATACATCTATTAGAATGATGATTTCAAGGTTCAACATATTCATTCAAGTTAATATGGCTGATTTATTTATCAAATCTCTACCAACGATCTCTTGAAGATGATGCACAATATTGGAATATGAAGGCTCAAAGATGTGAATTGATGCTCTCATCAGGGGGAGTTAATGCGCGTTGCACTCTTTTTCCCTTACAAGGTTTTGTCCCACTGGGTTTTTCTTGCAAGGTTTTTAGCGAGGCAACCAATAGGCGCATTTCTAAACATGTGTACTCTTTTTCCTTTTCTAGAATTTTTTTCCCATTGGGTTTAATTTTAGTTAAGGTTTTAACGAGGCACATTATCTGTTGAATAGACATTCAAGGGGGAATGTTATAAATAGAGTTCTATTTATGGTGAATGTCTATATTTAGAGAGATTTTAGGGTTTATTACTTGGTGGCTAAGTCACCCTCTCCCTATAAATAGAGGGTTCTATTCCATTGTAATTCATCCCAAAATCAATAAGAGTTCTCTTTCCCTGCTTTTCTCTGCAATACTCTTCTTCTTCTTTTATTGTTTCATAACAAAAATGATATAATTGAGTCCCCCTAATTTAAGATACTAATAATGTGTTGTATATAAACTGTTAGCAAACCTTGTTTAGTTACCGCATGTTCCACTTTTTAATTGTGAACGTGTAATCTTTTGGAAATTTTAAATAATGAAGCCCCTTTTTAAGTAATGAAAGATGATGTTGCATAATTTATCCTCTTGATCACATGTCTATCTCTTTTTATTAATTTTCAAATAATTCTTGAGTAAGGTTGGGTAGAAGGCATCAAGTAGGCTTGCTTGACTGGAATATCTCGATTGAGCGTCAGTTGTGTTCGCCAAGGTCGGGGCGTGACATGGCTAGGGCTAAACAAGTATTTATGACAATGGCGGAATGAGCCGTGGGCGTAGCAATCGCCTATGATATTACAACAGACATATATTAAATCGACACCCTCCTCTCCTCCTCACTTTACTTCATTCAATCAAAGAAACAAAACCCAAATCATCTCAAGAAACCATGAATAACATTATAACAAATATTAAAGTCTCCATAACCATAGCTTCTCAAAATCAATTCAAACTTATTCAATTGTAAATTTAGGATAACGATACTACATCTAATCTCTAGATTCAATTGTACTTCTTCTCATCCTAAATGCCACATCTAACTACTTGTGTCTCATTAAAGATACCAAGTCTCACGCAGGTGTAATACACAAGTTAACACGGTCAAAATGAAAAAGAAATTGGGGATGGCCAGGTAACCACATAACGCATTGCAGCGATTACCATTAGCAGGAAGATCTGTACCTAATTTGAATGATACTAACATAATGGAAACAGAAGTTAGGAACCCAAAAATTATATTTAAACAATTGTAGACGCGCGCACTGGGAGGATAGTCAGGACCCTCCTCTTCTGAAGCACAACAACGACAGTCCCCGTCCCTCGGATCCGCCAAACGAACACAACAGTTACGGTTTTCGTCGTTCCCCTCCATAGCTTCTGCTTCAAATATTTGGTCACTTGTATTATGTCGTACAAAAATGAGGTGATGGAGTTAGTTAAGAAAAACCCTACAAAGAACGAATTTAGAGGGTATTTGGATTGGCTTTTAAGCCGATCAATTCAGCTTTTAATTCTTTTTAACTTTGGTTGAACCTGAATCTCATCCATTGTGATGAGACACGCTAGGTTTATGTGCGAATTAGGGGTGGCGAACGAAAATTGGCGAATAATAAATACTTCTACGCCAAATGAAAACGGATAAAGGACTTCTACTCCTATCTGTAACGACCCGACCCGTCGTTACGGGAGTTATCGCCCCGTTTTCCCCGTTTTATGCTTCTATATGTTTCATTATATGTGTTTGGAGAATTTGAAGTAATTCGGTTAGAGTTCGGTTAGAAATGAGACAATAAGTCTCTTTATGAGAAGGTTAGTTTGGAAAAGTCAACCGAATATTGACTTATGAGTTAGAAGGCTCGGAATGGATTTCCGATGATTTGACTAGTTTCGGGGGATGATTTTTGACTTGGGAGCGCAATCGGAATTGAATTTGGAGGTCTGGTGTAGAATTAGGCTTGAATTGGCTAAGGTTGAATTTTGGCGAATTCCGGATGGTAGGTGAAATTTTGATCCGAGGGTCGGAATGGAATTTCGAGAGTTGCAGTAGCTCCGTTAGGTGATTTTGGATATGCGTGCAAAGTTTCAGATCATTCGGAGGTGTTTAGGTCGGGTTTTAGATCAAATGCAAGTTTCGGAAGTTTTAGTTTAACTTAGGCTTGAATCCGTGGGAATTTGATGATTTTGGTGTTTATGATAGTGTTTTTATGTTACGAGCAAGTTCGAATGAAGTAATAGAACATATCTGTGCATTTGGTTGAGGTCCCGAGGGCCTCGGGGTAATTTCGGATAGCTAACGGGGAGTTTAAACTGTGAAATTTGCAGCAGAAAATGCAGCAGCAGTGCAGGCCTGTTTTGGCCTTCGCGTTCGCGAAGGCAGGCTCGCGTTCGCGTAGAGTTGATGGCCTGGTGCATCGCGTTCGCGTATAAGCGATCGCGTTCGCGTAGTATTGGCAGCTGAAGCACGCGTTCGCATGCAGTGTAACGCGTTCCTGTAGAGGAAATTTGAGGGAGAGGAATTTTGGCCTCCGCGTTCGCGTCAAGGGGCCTCGCGATCGTGTAGGGGAAGCTGGTGAACCATCGCGTTCGCGTAAAGGAGGATCGCGTTCGCGTAAGTGAAGGACCCAGGCCTTCGCGTTCGCGTGGATGAAGCCGCGTTCGCGAAGGGCATTTTTGGCAGAGTGATAATTTGGTCATCACGAACGCGGGAGGACCCTCGCGTTCGCGTAGAGTAAAATACCTGGACAGAAGGGTTTTAAAATAATATTTCATCCGCGACCCTTTCATATTTTTTCCTCCATTGTTGACGTTCTTAAGAGCTTTGGACANGAATCTATGTTGACTAATTGGCTTGAAGCCTGATACGGTGGCTTATAACCTTTTGATTTATGGTTGCTGCATCGCTGGAGAAATGTCGAAAGCTTTTGAATTGCGTGATGAGATGATAAGAAGTGGTCTGAAGGTGTCTCATGCCACATTTGCTTCTTTAGTCAATGGAACCTGAAAAATGAGCTCCCCACATCTGCTAGAATCAGTTACTACAATTCAGTATTGACTATCAAAATTCTGGATACTTTATACAGGACGTGATCATGTCAACCATAATTCTTTACACTAAAATGCCGTATCCATGAATGGTTCAAGGCCCCACCTTTTTATCTGATGACCATGAACTATGAGTTGGGCATCTTGAGAACTTCGAGGGAGGTAGTTTAACACTTACTTTTTCTTATCTTTTTCCTGTATATTACTTCATACAGAGTAACATAGGATGTTTTGAGGGGAAACCTAACAATTAGTCAAGGTTTGGATAATGAACACCCACAGTTGTGCTGCTTGTATCATATTTGAGATAGAAATGGCCCTACTTCCTGTTGCTTGCAGTTATAACACAACCTTGTTTTCTACTCAAATTAGGTTTTTCATTCATCTACAACTGACCTTCATAACTGGACTCCTTTTTTCCCTTTTATCTTATGGATCTTTAGAGGGTCTCTGAGTTACTTGGAGATATGTTACAAAAATAGTTTGCAAGATTTACCTTTTACAATTCCGTTTAATGCATTGTTTGAACTGATTCATAAAGGTTTCACGAGAGGCAATGCATGTATGATTCTGAGTGTTTGTATTTTCTGGAACAACCATAATTCGCATGACTGTTTTCACTATTAGTACCCGATAATGTACTTCAAATTTTATATAAGGAAACGTTAATATGCTGTTGATTTGGAAGTTCACACCTTCTGTTAATTTATAGAGGTGTAGAAGCTACATTTATTCCTTAAAACTGTTAGTAGACTAGTTCACAGTATCACCGAAGCTGTTACTTCGTTCCAATTGGCATTCTGCTACCTATTGCAAAATGCAAGCACTGGCTATTCATTTGTTCCTTGATATTTAGCTTGGACTGCTGTAAAATTTGGTCGAATCTGGTAACTGTTCAAACATGTCCAGGTAGGACACACACAGCGTAGGGTCTCCATGTTCTGTGCTAATTAAAGTGAATAACATCACATGTCTTGAGCTTATCTGAGTGTGTATATATATAGATATACAAAAGGATATAGAACCAGCTTCTGTGAGATGTGATTGGAGTAACGAGATTTTAGTTTTTTTCCCCTTATCATGAGTTTACAAATTGGTGGTGTACCTTAAGCATTTATTTGTGCTTCCTTTATCTAACCTACTCTCTTATGTTGTTTTTCGTTATTGGCAGACCCATGTACCAAAGATGGTACAACTGTCATAAGTCAGAAGAGGTATATGTCATAGGACTCCTGCAGCAACTGTTTCTGGTCTATGAAGTTTCTCACTTCGGTAAGGATCAGTAGCCTTTGTTAGTTTTGCTTTCCTTGCATGTCTTCGTTATTTGCGTGTGCAGTGCTGTAGTCCATTCTTGTGCGCTTTCTTTAACTCATTCATGTCTGCATCTCAATTGAATTAATATTGTGTTCTTTTTTTGTTTCAGTTTTGCACTGGGCAGTCAAGCATGGTTAGTTCTCCTTTTGAATTTTAAGGTCATTCTTTTCCTAGCAATCTAGCATATCATGCACATATTTAACATTGGTTTTGTTCCAGTTCTTTGATAGGTACTTCTTTTGATCAGATTGTCTGATAAAAGCATTAGATTTGGGCAAAACGATGGGAACTATTAGCTAAAGTTTTAACCTGAAAATTGTTAGGGGGTTTACGTTTCAAGTGTATAATCGGAGCTTCTACAGTAGCAGTATTTCACATTCTGCTATGAAAGCTCCAAGTAGCATTGCTACCATAGATCGCACATTAGTTCTTCCTTTATTGCTTGCAATTTAGGTAGACTATAATGGAATGTATTTCATTCCAACACATTTTGTCCAAGACAAAAGAATATTAAGCTCATTTCTTTGGTGTTGATGTTCTTTGTTTTACCTGCATCTTTGTCTGCTTAGTACTTAACCAATTATCCTTTTGCTGTTTTATTAGAGGGAGCTGTCTATTTATTGTGTCAGTTGCATGCCCAGCCACCTTTTCGCATTAGGTTCTATTGCTTCTTTCCTACTGAAATTGCTGTAGCGCAAGGTACTGTATGGGAAAGCTATATTCTCAACGATGGCAATACACGGCATGTTGACTCGATGGGTCCAAGTCAATTGATGAAGCTCCTCCATTTTTATATTTCTTCTATTAACATCACAACCAACATTCTTATTGGCATGTCAGGGTAATTTCATAAAACATTAAGAAAAAGAAGCTAAAACTAAAAGAACATAAACAGTTTATCCATTGTAATCACAAAGGACAAATAGTATGTCAGCTCAATCTAAGATATTTCCAGTAAGCCTCAAGACCTGGAAAAGTTACTCAAGGCGCCAGCACCAAAATCAACAAGACAAAACAAAACAAATGTGAAGATGAACGACTATAAATGATCACAGTGGCTGCCAGTCAGCAGATACACAAGTTGCAATCAGGTCAGCTATCAACAGAAACATACAAACCAAAGAACAACCCAAGGATTGTTAATTGTTACCAGCTCCAAACCAAAGAAAAATAAGAACAAAACCACATGATTTTTCTAAAGACGACTTCAATGTTAACAAACATCATATTTCCCTCTCGTCCAGACGGACTATTAACAATTCTCTTGAGCAAAGCAAAGAGCACATCCGATAGACGGAAAACTAGGGCATTTGTTATAGAGTTGCAGAAGAGTGCATTTTCCTCCTTGTACACTAAAGTACAAATGAAGAGGCTTAATTAACTATCTAGTCCTAGTACTGTACTACACCAAAGTCTTATGCAAACGATAGTTTTTGACAGTGGTGGCAAAATGGATAAAAAAAAACAATTATCTACTCATATTATTCATTAAAAATTAGTTGGATAATAAACTTTTTAAAAACAAGTATAAAAATCATATTATCCACTAAGAAAATGAAAAACTAATGGGTTTAACTTTAATTGGGGGTTCCTTAAGTTTGAGAGACGAGGAAGTTTACCAAAAGTGATCATATTCAAGAAAATATGGATATCCTTATTATCCGTTGGTTAACCCATATTTTATCCGAATTAAATATGGATCGGGTCGGATAATTTATCCGTTTTTGCATTACTTATTTTTGACCCGTCCATACCCGACTCGACCAGCCCGTTTGCCACCTCTAATTTTTGGCATCGGGGAAAGATTTGGTATAATAAAACACAGCTTATTTCTCATGGCTAATGGATAAGGAAGTCTGCAACTCTATAACAAATGTACCCCATCATGAAGATGTTTACCACCTAATTTTGCACTGTAAGGTCACTAACCAGATTTGAAGCTTGTTCTTTGCAATCTTTTGCGTGACTTGGACAATGTCTTACTCCATTCTAGAATTTTTGCACTGCCGGAGAAGAGATGATCTCCACTAGAAAGCACTCAAGAATTGGAATACAAGTCCTAATGTCATTTAGTGGACAATTGCGAACTTGTGCACTCCTATCCTATTGTTGCTTCTATTATGATAGGGAATCATGTGATTCTTTCTATCCTCCTACTTTCTTGCTCTTATGGAGTTGTATTTCCTAGGTTATGCGGTTATCTTCCCTGGCCGGGGCGAAGCTACACCATTTTAAACAAGAAAATTAAACAGTGTATATAGGTTAAATATTATGTTTTAGAGGTATATAACATATATTGAACACCCTTTGTCGAGATTTTTTTTTTCACTTCTTTCAAGTTTGAACACCCTTGAAATTTTTTTTAGCTTCGCCACTGTTCCCTGGCTTGACAGTAATCAAGGGAAAATCATGCCTTTGCTCCTTTCTATAGCACACTAACGGAAAAACTGAGATAATTCTTAGCTGTTGTGAAAGTTAGCGTCTTAAATAAAGTAAGTGCTTGTTGCTTGTGCACTCTTTCTGGTGATACACAACAACAGAATTTTTGAAGGCAAACGAAAAAACATACATAGCATTTATGAATTTTAGTACTATGAATTTTGTGGGAAAAGTTATTTGTTTTTAGTTCAGTGACGATAATAGTAACTTTCCCAACAATAAAATGCAGTTATAGAAGTTAAGTGCATAACTACTGGAAGGAATAATCCTCTTCATTGAAGGTCTATAATGAATTTGTGTTGATAAGGCATATTCTTTTCGGAGCATTCATTTCATATTTTGAGCTGCTTACAGGCAAGAAGAAAGGAATAAGAGTTTTGACATCACCAGCAACTCTTTCGGGCTGCTAATCTTGTTCCAATATCGAGGAATTCCTTCCAAATTGTCTAGAGTCTCACCAAGAGCCATGGACGTGCCAATGCTATTCTATTGTGATGACCAAAAGACCAAACTTTTGAAGCAGCAAGTGTTATGGGAACAAGGGGCACATCAAATTACATTGTTTATGACACATGCATGTTAAGATAGACCATAAATAACTTATTCGCATTCAGTATTCAGTACTGGTTCTTAAGGTTAAATTGTTTGATTTGATGTATGTAAGTCTCCGTTGCTAGGCTGGTCACTTTCACCCCATTCTTGTGTTCAACTCGATTACAATGTTTCATCTTTCCCCTATTATTGCCAAAAAATTCTCCTGTTCGAATCACAGAGATAAAAAAGCACTTCCTAAATTGTTCACTGATAAAGTGAAATAACAATTACTAGTTGTTTTCGGTTCTGGACGTTGAGCAGATATGTCCACAGATTTCAGTGTCCTAATTTCCTCAACAATGTGCACATCTTGTACACATCCAGATTATTGTTAGAGATACTGTTGGATCCTCCAAGACCAATGAGCCTTAACCATTGAATCTGGTCGAGATATTTTCGGAAAATCACATAAAAACAGGAATAATAAAGGAAAACTTCTCCAGAACAGAACGAATAGACAACAGAAACAGAGGGCTAATAAAGTAAGCCTTCATACATCATTAGAGTCCACCAGAGAGTTATAGGAGCCACACAGCTTAGGAAACTTTGCAAAATCCAAAATTCAAACAGATAGGAAAACTATAATCAACAGTAGAGAGTAGACACTAATGATTGTCCATGTTGATCAGTAGCTTAGTTTAGGGATCTAATGTGCAGTGCGCAATATTCCATGCAGATAACCACCAGTCATAACAAGAGACACAAAGGAGACAATACCAGCTGGAAAAACCTTCTTTGACTTCAGAAACCTAGATCCCATTACTCCCAGAAGTGCAGCCGAGAGGACGAAACCCATTGATGATGCCAAAACAGGTTGTGTTGGAAGCATAGCATAAACAGAGTACAAAAGGGAGGCAGAAACTCCACCTGCAATTAGGGACTTCGTGCTGCCACTTTTCAGATAACCCATAAAACCACCAGCTCCAACCAAGAAAGCATAGCCCAATGTCAATTTTTGGGACATAGAAAGGGCCATTTTCTTTTTATTGTTATGATCCTTGCCTTCATCTGACTCCCCCTCGTTGCCACCATCATTATTATTATTATTATTGCCACCATTATTTCCCTCCCCACCACCGCCATTTGCACTCACAGAATCATCTCCACCACCACCACCTGTCTCTGGCAGAATATCAATTCCTGGCCCTGCTGAATCAACAGTGAAGGTGGTTGGCATTGTAGAATCAGAGACAACACTGGCTTTGACTCCCCAGTAGGAAGGCTTTGATCGAGTGGACAAGTTTGGGTACACCGTGCAAGGGGTATTCAATGGATGTAGAGATGAACGAAGTGACCTCAATGGCTGACTATGAGCAAAGAAATGCTGCCTTTGACTCCAAGCTTGGACGCGAAAGTGAGGCAGCACTATGGAGGATTGAGCAATGGCCAAAAATTCTCCCATGATGTATATGCTGAATTATGAGAAAGTTATTTACGGGATGGTTTGTTTTCTGTAGCTTGTGTATTCTCAGCAACTTCCACAAAAATCAGTCTTCCATCAACAATCTGCAACCGGTAGATCATTTCAATGACAGAACAGAAAAACGGGAAGCAGCAAGACTCTTCAGACAGCCAACATTCAATATTTCACCAGGAGGTAAAAATGAAACAAAATTAAATACACTTTATAATGCTGGAAAACAAATTCCCTTGGGGAAGTAAAGGAGCTTTCTGCAAAGACATAATGCCACTTAAATTCCCCCTGATTGTTGAGGATTTCTGGATTTTAGCAGATCAGAATCTTTTCCCTGGTCCTTATAGTTGACTGACTTTCTTTTTTTTCGCGACAATCTCACAAAGCCAAGATTTGGAGCAACAAAAAACAATCAAAACAGTCTCTCTCTCTCTCTCAAAAAAGCCATCTACTTTAAATTTCTGAAATAATCCATAAAATCAAGACTCTGCACATAAGTAAATCAAGCATAATTGTTACAAACAATTAGCCAACCACCACAATCTCAAATTAGCTTTCAAGCCAAAGCTTGGTGCATTATTGACATCTCCAGTCAACGGAAAACACTTCGTGCATTTTTTTTGATGAAGTAAGCAGGATATCATTAAAGGCATCAAGAAGATGCAAAAAGATTACAAAACAAAGTTTGTTAGCTCATTTACAGTTGAAGTGCTACAAAACTAGAGAGCCGACAAAGTCCAAAAATGCATCAAAAGTAGATATGCAAACAAACCACAGAGCTACGCCAAAAGTAGACATGTGCACAAATAATTTTCAAGACCAACACCAATATTTTCCTAACATATTCATATCATTGATATAGGATGTCTACTGCTCTCAGCAATTGTGCTTTCACTCATCTCTATTTCTGTCTACTGGGTACTTTCCCGTGTTTTATAAAAAATTATAACATTCTTTTTGATCTGTGTACACAAAGTTTAGGGATTACCCTTTTGAACAACTTAATGTTCTCAACTGTCATTTTGCACTAAAAACACACACAAAAAGAAAGTTCAGCTGCAGAGGGGTAATAGAAGCATAGATGCGGCAATGAGGTGCCAATATTAGATGAGAAGTCAAGAAAGGTAGAGACCACAGGGGGTGACTGGTGGCAGTGGCTTAATAGAGGGGAAACAGACAGTTCGTCATCTTGGCGAGCAGCAGGATTGGAGTTTGATATCATAATATTGTTCTTCAGCTGACAAGTTATGCAAAATATGAGTATACTTTTCTTTCTTCCTTTTCTTGTTTTGTTTGTTACCTGCTGAAAATTTCTCATCTCCAAAATAATAACTCATCATTTTGCAGTCCTTATTTTCCTTAAAATGATAACTTCTATAACCTCTTTAGTCTTTACTACAACTTCCCAGTTTCTTATCAATAGCTCAACGACTACCACTACTTAAAGCAATGAAACATCTGCGACCAGTGAACTTCAAGAGATTTTGCTCTACCATATTGCTTGCAAAATCAGAAGGAAGACTCGCAACAACAAGAGACTTCCTACTATTCATTTCCACTAAATAGTTTATGAGACAACTAATTCAACAAAGGTAGATTATATATCCATAAAACAATTTAATAAAATAAACACCAAAAACAACAGCAAAAATAGTCGAACATAATGAGATACAGTTCCTAGACCAAACACCGTTTCTCCATAGATTTTCTAGAACCTAGACCCCTTCCAAGTGAAAGTTAGATTTCTTTAGATGGTTATATTCTTCGCATGTTTCGTTATAAGCCTATTAATGCCCCCAACTTACATTTTCCACCCTTTATCATTAGTTTCATTCGAGCAATGATTATCCTGTCTCCAACTGAAAGCATTTGCAGGACCAAGTCCTTTAGACCAACAAATGCAACAATTTGTGCCGGTCGATGATAGCAAAAGTTCACAAAGTCAAACAGCACGCCAAATTGTTTAAGATGCTTGGAAAAATCTTTCGCTTATAGTTTTGCTGTGAAGTGCTGGAAATAGACATCTGCCTTCTTTAATCTATGATTGATAAATAGTTTTCTAAGCGAAAGACAGACTAAGAATTGTCAATAATAGAGGAACACCTAGTTTTTAAAGTGGGACACCACTATAACAACTATGTGTTTCCTATCTAACAATGGATAGATTTAATATAAAAAAAAAACAATATTTAAGAAAAACCTAAAAATTTGAATCGGAAGTAGCGGGTGTGCTTGCACTCATTGCTGAAGGCTATGTCCACAACTGATGATAGGCACCATATTAAGCATGTTCCATAAAATATACACAAAACACACCATCAACAAACACACAGAAGCAAGTGTACACATTTACCAACAAAGCTGAGGAATTACCCTTCCGTTAATGGAATTCAATGCATTCCGAGCATCTGCTTCTGACTCAAAGGTAACAAATCCAAAACCTTTAGGCCTTTGCGTTCTTGGGTCTTTAACAAGCCTCGCTGCTCGCCCAAATTAACAAATCCATATAAATCAATCAATCAAATCAACTACGTCTCAATCCCAGATTAATTATAGACCTATTTAACAAATCCGTCACAAAGTACAAATTCCATATTTATAAATAGTTATAGGGCAATCAAGTGTAGTAGATAAAGGGCGTTTGGTATAAGGGAAAATGGAAAACAGTTCAATCAAAAGGAGGAAAATGACTTCCCTCACTTATGGGCGGAAGTCATTTTTCCACCAACTATCTTCGACTAGCACTAGACTTCATTAATAATCTCTAGTACTCAAAAGTTTCATCAGAACACTCTCCAATTTGCTGATATTATTTATTAATTTTTAATATTATACTCTATATTTTGAAAATATTTTCCATGACATAAATTTCCTTGGGAAATGACTTCTGTCATACTTAACACACCCTAAATTTCACACTTACTTATTTTGAGGATAAATTAGATTACATTTCAGACGAAAAAATAATGATTTCAGAATATAGAAATGAGGAAAGGTGAATTAACCTTCTGTAACAACGCCAAAAGGTGAAAAGAGCTTCTTCAATCTTTCATTCGTAGTGTAAAACGATAATCCTGTTTAACAGAACAAAAATCGAATGCGTCAGTGTTAGGGTTTTAATAAGGACAACAGCAGACAAATAAATCACGATTAATAAGAACAGATAAAATACAATAAATATTTGTGCTTTTGTGTGTGTGTGTGTGAAATATCAGGAGAGAGAGAGTACTGCTGACGAATAGTTGCAGCCCTTTTGCCATATGAGGTCCGAGAGCAGCGCTGTATCATCAAATCAAAGAGGAGAAATTTTATTTTGAGTGAGATTCAACCAACAAAACTTTTATGAGGCACCTCTACCTATTTGACAAGTGGAAATATGGGTCCCACATGTTTCCATCCCCTTTCTCAATTCCCTCTCTCATATTTTTACCAACTTTACGAGATGACAAAATGAAAAAGCAGTCAACTTTTCTCCTCTATCTTCTACTCCTTTTCTAAAAGGAAGAGAACATGTGGATTTTTAGGGTCGTTTGTTCGTGTATGCTTGTCCAAATTCAAGAGTCTAAAAAGAAGAATGACTGAATTTTTCTCTCTGTATTTTAAAATAGAAAAATGATGGGCAAAATATTTTTGCGGGAGAATCATTGATTTTTTGAGATATCTATGCTTTCTAGTTCCTAATTTGTAATTGTCGGATCAATAGTTTGGTTGAAGCTTATTAATCTGACATCTCACTGGTGTGCAGTGATGTAAACTCAACTTCACATTTATCATTTAATTTTAATATTGTTGCTTGGATACAACTTTGAATATCTTTAGGTTTGAAGACCTTTTCTTTTGTGATGATATGGGATTCTAGGTTTGAATCGTTGTTTGAGTTGAAAGTGTTAATTAAAATATTTGATGGTTGGATTCTGCGAGACTGCGTTGGAGTAGGTGTGGGCATCGGTCGGTTCGGTTCGGTTTTGAATATTATCGGTTATCGGTTTACAAATATCATAACCCGATAACCAAACTGATAAGATATTGGTTATCGGTTATCGGTTAATCGGTTATTGATCATTATCGGTTCGGTTATCGGTTTACCCGATAAGGTAAAACTAAAATTAAGAGGTGCTGAACGCTGAATATTACCTAAAATTAAGAGTGTTGAACGCTAATATTTGTGCAAAGTAATATTTGTACAAAGTTTACTGGAAGCTGCTATATATGACACTTCAAGGTAAGGACCAAGGAGCGGGTGTGGATTTCAATCCAACAAAAGAAATTCTCAATATACCATTTTCAGTATAAAACTAAAAGCTAAACTACAGCTGAGTAACAATTTTAAAGGTTCCAAAATGAGATTTAAACTTCTATTTAGTATCAAGATCTATGTTGCGCGGACTCTCAAAAATGTAGCTGCACCCGTGTCGGATCCTTAAAAAATGCACTACTTTTGGAGGATCCGACATGTATCTGGCCACATTTTCGGAGAGTCCGAGCAACATAGATCAAGATCTTGTGGCAGAACTACAAGCATTTGAAGACTGTCAGAAAGCTGCACATAGAACAACAATTCAAAGCTGCACATAGAAAAATTAAACACATATTGACAACACCCATAATCATATAATCATAATTCTAAAGGAAAAAGCAAAAAAGATTAAATTTTTGCCTCAAACTAAACATACCCAGTGGCCAGTACCTCAATTGCCCACATGTAAAGTGCAAACAGCTCAAAATTCCAATCAACAAAAATAGGAGATAAAAAGATCCAACTTTCACAATCCAAAAACAGATGGTACACACAGTAATGTCCAAACTCCAAAGTAATAGTTCAAACACATTAATAACAATACAAAGTAGTAGCAACCTTAAGATTAACAAGTTCAAATTCCAAACATGATACTAATAGTTCAAATTCAAGTAAACAACACAACAACTACTCAATCATTATAGGCTTCACCAAATTGCGCTCCAAACAACGCTCAACATGCCTCATTTTAAAATCTTAAAATGAAACACATATAACTACACATAAAAAAGGAAAATATGATAACAGAAGGTTTGCTTTCATTACTACAAAGTATTGAACTGCCTCATGCTTCTCTTAGTTTCAATAGAGATAAAGAAACATCATTTCACATATAGTACATGTCACTAATTCTGCGTCAGATGGTAACTAAAGAAGACTGCGACATATGCTTTTATGGCTTTAATCAAACTGGAAATCTGGAATCATTTTAAAAAGATGTAAATTTAATTTATTTGTTAAAGATTAACATGAGCTGTAAGTCCCAAAATAAGATTTCGCAGTAATTCCATAGCTTTCAGCCATCTAACTCCTATAAGTGATGGCTAAGCAAAAAATTCAAATAGTACTTCAAATGAAGAGATGTAAGGACTGTGATAAAGAATCAACTAAGATAAATTCAAACAATCAGTGTAGTATAAATTCAAGAAACCAAACATATTAGGGAAACCATTTTTCGAGCTTCATAAAAAGGAAAATATGCAAAATTGATTTCTAAGATACCAAACTAAGACGAATTCAGAAATGGGATATGAAACACTGACCTTAGTGCAATGCTCTGCCGGAAAAAGATATAGAAAACTGAGTCTTGACGGGCTCAGTCGTGGGGGCGTGACCGCGTGAGTCGTGAGGCGGAGAACTGGCGAGGGCTTGACTGCTTGAGCCGTGTGGCCGGTGGCGGACTGGCAGAGAACTGGTGAGGTCTGACTTCTGAGGGTGAGGACTGAGGGTGAGGAACTGAGTGAGTGAGGCGGACAGCGGACTGGCGTCTGGCGACTGCGGAGAAAGCAAAATTAGTATATGAAAATGAAACCCTAGTATTACTGGTATATACTCAAGTGTAAACTAGTAAACTAGTAAATTAGTAAACCCTTATTGGGTTATCGATTTACCAATACCGTAATTGCTAAACCGAGTCCGAACCGATAACTCAATAAAAAAAAATTACCGGTTACTGAACCGTTAACCCAATAAGCCAATACCGAAACCCAATAAATAATTAACGGTTCGGGTTATCGATTTTACCTCTATATGCCCACGCCTGCGTTGGAGAAGGAGAGGAACGAAATGCATTTAACTCAAAATTAAAGAGATGATGAAGTTTAGTAGAAGTTGAAAGAAGAAAACGGATTGAATATCAGTGCTTAGAGAAACATGAGCATAAGTAGGTTAAAAAAAAAAGTAGTGTAGGACCCTCTCTTAAGTAAAATTGGGTAAAAAAGATAGAAATGAGATGGTGAAATAGGAAACACGTAAGTGTGAGAGATAAAAGGAGGGAGCTGACATGTGGGACCCATATTTCCACTTGTCAAATAGGCAGAGGTGCCTCGTACAAGTTTTGTTGGTTGAGTCTCAACCAAAATAAAATTTCTCATCAAAGAGACACTGTATTTGTCGAAATTGCAGGTCGGTCACTATTTTAATTGAAATTGCATGTTAGTCCCTTCTTTTCTCATTAATTATTATATGTCCCCGTTTCAGTATTTCTTCTTCTTCTTTATTTTTTCTTTTTTCACCTTTTTCTTTTCTTTTAATTTTAATGCGATAAGAAATCAGTGCTAATAAGGGGAGACATTCTCCGGCTTGCTTTCATAAAAATTCCATGTCGCAAAGTTATGGCCGCCGACAAACTTTATTGGCAGATGCGATACACGATTAAACTGAACAATAACATTAGAATTGCTGCTAGTGGAGTCAACATTTATTACATTAGGGGTCATTTTAAGTGTGAGTCTATGTGGCAGTCAGAGGATCTAAAAAAAAAACTCGTGAGAGTCAAGAAGATCGCTCTGATACCATATAATAGAGAAGTTTTATTGTGTGCCTCACACAACTGACATTAGTTGTGTGAGGCTCTTTTTTTGTCCCACAAATGAGCAAGATGAAACAAAAAAAATAATTTTGTTAAATGATGATGAGCTGATTATATATACAAACAAGTTACAGAGACCTAGTTAACAGACCAGAAAGCAAAAAAAAACAAACTCCTTAAATGATGGGAACAAAATAACAACCTATGCAATAAAACAAAGTAGATACACAAATTTTACAAAGCAGTAATAGTAACTCCTAATATGTCAGGCGTTAATTATTAAATAGCCCTTCGAGTGACAAGCAGGACGACGAAGAAGCCCTTTACTCCCGCTTTGAAATAGTAGGAACTATTACAGTATTTCTTTTGGGGGTAAAAGTATGTGGTATTCTTTTCTACTACTCCATCTTAACAGGGGTGAAATTACATACTCCTTTTTATAAGAGCCAACAATTATTATTGAGGTTTAGCCGGATACCAAATGCTCCAATCAAGCATCCCCAGCTCCACAAACCAAGTAAAAAATCATGACACTGGAACTGACTCAAAGTCAAACCTCTTCTTCCTTTTCTCCATTTCCTCCAAAACAAAGAAAGCATCTTCAACATTCCCTTTATCAAGCAGGCCAAGAATCATACACCTTATTGTTTCTACACGCGGAAAATGCCCGCTAATCAACATTGCCCGCGGAAAATATACACAAAACACACCATCAACAAATACACGGAAGCAAGTGTACACATATGAGGAATTACCCTTCCGTTAATGGAATTCAATGCATTCCGAGCATCTGCTTCTGACTCAAAGGTAACAAATCCAAAACTTAGGCCTTTGCGTTCTTGGGTCTTTAACAAGCCTCGCTGCTCGCCCAAATTAACAAATCCATATAAATCAATCAATCAATTCAACTACGCCTCAATCCCAGATTAATTATAGACCTATTTAACAAATCCGTCACAAAGTACAAATTCCATATTTATAAATAGCTATAAGGCAATCAAGTATAGTAGATAAAGGGCGTGTTTGGTATAAGGAAAAATGGAAAACAGTTCAATCAAAAGGAGGAAAATGACTTCCCTCACTTATGGGCGGAAGTCATTTTTCTACCAACTATCTTCAACTAGTACTGGACTTCATTAATAATCTCTAGTACTCAAAAGTTTCATCAGAACACTCTCCAATTTGCTGATATTATTTATTAATTTTTAATATTATACTCTATATTTTGAAAAATATTTTCCATGACATAAATTTCCTTGGGAAATGACTCGTGTCATACTTAACACACCCTAAATTTCACACTTACTTATTTTGAGGATAAATTAGATTACATTTCAGACGAAAAAATAATGATTTCAGAATATAGAAATGAGAAAAGGTGAAGTAACCTTCGGTAACAACGCCAAAAGGTGAAAAGAGCTTCTTCAATCTTTCATCCGTAGTGTAAAACGATAATCCTGTTTAAAAGAACAAAAATCGAATGCGTCAGTGTTAGGGTTTTAATAAGGACAACAACAGACAAATAAATCGCGACTAATAAGAACAGATAAAATACAATAAATATTTGTGTTTTTGTATGTGCGTGTGGGAAATATCGGGAGAGAGAGAGAGAGTACTGCTGACGAATAGCTGCAGCCCTTTTGCCATCTGAGTTCCGAGAGCAGCGCTGTATCATCAAGTCAAAGAGACACTGTATTTGTCGAAATTGCAGGTCGGTCACTATTTTAATTGAAATTGCATGTTAGTCCCTTCTTTTCTCATTAATCATTATATGTCCGTGTTTCAGCGTTCTTCTTCTTCTTCTTCTTCTTCTTCTTCTTCTTCTTCTCTTTTCTTCTTCCACCTTTTTCTTTTCTTTTAATTTTAATGCGATAAAAAATTAGTGCTAATAAGGGAAGACATTCTCCAGCTTGCTTTCATAAAAATTCCATGTCGCAAAGTTATGGCCACCGACAAGCTTTATTGGCAGATGCGATACACGATTAAACTGAACAATAACATTAGAGTTGCTGCTAGTGGAGTCAACATTTATTACATTAGGGGCCATTTTAAGTGTGAGCCTGTGTGGCAGTTAGAGGATCGAAAAAAAAAATTCGTGAGAGTCAAGGAGATCGCTCTGATACCATATAATGGAGAAGTTTTATTGTGTGCCTCACACAACTGATATTAGTTGTGTGAGGCTCTTTTTTATCTCACAAATTTGAGGACTCAATCTTACATTTCTTGGTCCACAAAACTCTGAGACAAAAAAGATGCCTCATACAACTAGTGTTAGTTGTATGAGACACAAAATAATATTTTCCCATATAATGAATGAGCAAGATGAAACAAAAAAAATAATTTTGTTAAATGATGATGAGCTGATTATATACACAAACAAGTTACAGAGGCCTAGTTAACAGAAAGCAAGAAAAATAAAATAACAAACTCCTTAAATGGTGGGAACAAAATAACAACCTATGCAATAAAACAAAGTAGATACACAAATTTTACAAAGCAGTAACAGTAACTCCTAATATGTCAGGCGTTAATTATTAAATAGCCCTTCGAGTGGCAAGCAGGACGACGAAGAGGCCCTTTACTCCCGCTTTGAAATAGTAGGAACTATTACAGTATTTCTTTTGGGGGTAAAAGTATATGATATTCTTTTCTACTACTCCATCTTAACAGGGGTGAAATTACATACTCCTTTTTATAAGAGCCAACAATTATTATTGAGGTTTAGCCGGACACCAAATGCTCCAATCAAGCATGCCCAGCTCCACAAACCAAGTAAAAAATCATGACACTGGAACTAACTCAAAGTCAAACCTCTTCTTCCTTTTCTCCATTTCCTCCAAAACAAAGAAAGCATCTTCAACATTCCCTTTATCAAGCAGGCCAAGAATCATACACCTTATTGTTTCTACACGCGGAAAATGCCCGCTAATCAACATTGCCTTCAAAACCTTCAAACCTTCCTCAAATTCTCCTGTTTTACAAAACCCAACAACCACCATTCTATATGTAGCTGCATTAGGATTGCAACCTGCAATTTGCATATCAACTAACATCCTATACGCTTCAGCAGTTTTACCTTCCTTACAGAAATAATTGATTAACATATTATAGATCACAACGTCGGGCTTAATGTGCCTCTTTTTCATCTCCACGAGTAAACTATTTGCCTCACCAATGTCGCTTCATTTTAAAAGATCAGTCATCAAAACACCATAATTGACTATTTTCAGCTTACATCCTTGGTATTCCATATCAACCATTAACTTCTTGGCTTCTTTATACTTACCCAAAGAACTCAAACCTTCCATCAACAAAGCATAAGAAACTGCATTTGGCTTCTTTCCCTTTCTAACCATATCCTGAAACAACCTTTTAGCACCTTCAACATCCCCCTTCTTACACAAAAATCCAACTTGACAATTGTAAGTTACCACAGTCGGCTCAATTTCTCTTTCAATCATTTCATCAAACACTTGGCGCGCCAGTTCCCAATCACCCTTTTCCAGCCACATCTTAATAATAATGTTAAACGAAACAACATTTAACCAAATACCCATTTTCGAACAATTCCTTAACATCTCATTTGCATCATCAGGACGTCCATTATCAATAAGCACATTTAAAAGTGCATTAAAAGACTGTACACTACGCGTACAATTAAACGACGCCATGTTGTGAAAAAGCTCAATAGCTTTATCAACCAACTGGGCTTTGCCGTAATGTTGAATCAACCCGATAAAAACCCTCTCTTGACATCGAATATAATATGTTTTTAAATACCCAAGAAGGGTTTCAACAGCTTCAAAGTCTCGAGACTTAGCGAGCTTATAAATAAGACAAGAATAAGTAGGGTAGTCATGTTTGAACCCGGTTTGCTGGTAATCATGGAACAGTGAAATAGCTTTATCAGGATCTTGGATTTGTTTGAGGTCAGCAAGTAGTGGTATTGGCTTGCGAAGGAGGTTTTTTGTAGGCTTATGAGGCCTTTCAGGTGAGGATTTTGAGGTGGGTTTATGAGAACGATGATGACTGTGGTATGGTTGGGATTGGAAAATTGAGGTTCTGAATTGTGCAAGGTTGTTAATTTTGAGTTTTGAGGGAGTTGTGCTAGCTTGTTTGATTCTTGAATTGATCATGGAATGTAGGAGGTAGAGGTCAGATTATAGTTTCAAGTGTTAGATGAAAGATCTGTGGAGGGAAAATGGGTTGCTTAAACTTGGAAGCACATTTGAAAGCTTATGCACTCGAGATTGGATGGTAAAAATAGCACAGTATAGCCAGTTTTCGGACTGGTCATTCAAAAATAGCCAGCGTTTACTAAGTCAATGAAAAATAGCCACTATTTTACTGCAACAGAGACCGGTCCAGCATAATATACTGGAGTTCGGTGCATCTGTGTATGAACTCCAACATATTATGCTGGATCGGTATACTTTGCTGGCTCCAGTATAATATACTGGAGACTGGAGCACCGGTGCTCCAATCTCCAGTATATTATGCTGGACCGGTATACTTGCTGGAACTCCAGTACATTATGCTGGAGTTTTAGTGTACTTATGCTGGCTCCATCATATTATGCTGGAGTTCCAGCATACTTATCCTGGAACTCCAGTATAATATGCTGGAGTTCAAGTATACTTATGCTGGAACTCCAGCATAATATACTGGCGTATTTTCCGCTGTTTGAACAGTATTTTCGCTCAGATTTATCTTTACATGAAAAGTGGTTAAACTTCGATTACTTTTGAAACTGGGCTATTTTTGAACGACTAGTTGTAAATCTGACTATTTTTAAATTTCTCCCGATTGGATGGGTACTGATTTTGGTGAGATTTTGATCTGGGCCAAACAGATGCTTCAAAAGCTGGAAATTGGGCCTAGTTTATAGATGTGTTTGGGTGAAATTCAAAAATAGCCAGATTTAATTGGAAAATAGCAATAATTTCAAAGTAATCGATATTTAGCCACTTTTCATGTAAAGATAAATCTGAACGAAAATACTGTTCAAAATACGTAAGATATTCCAGCATAATATACTGGAGTTCCAGCATAATATAGTAATATACTGGTCCAGCATAATATGCTGGAAGTTCATACACAGGTGCTCCAATCTCCAGTATATTATGCTGGAACTTTCCGTGTGTTGGAGTTCCAACATAATATGCTGGAAGTTTATACACAGGTGCACCAATCTCCAGTATATTATGCTGGAACTTTCCGTGTTACAGCAAAATAATGACTATTTTTCAATGACTTTGCAAACGTTGGCTATTTTTCAATAGAGCCCGCTTAGTTAGCGGAGGTCTTGAGTTCGTCTCAACAAGAGCATTTTATTTTTCTATATTTTGCCTTGGTTATATTCGTTGCGCAAACAAATACAATCGATACAGGTTGTATCCTTCGTATACATTCTTGTATACAATCGATATAAGTTGTATTATTTGTATACACCCTTGTATTTCATCTTGGTTACAGTTGATGCATGTTGTATTTGTTGCGCGAACGAATACAATTGCACAAAAGTATACAATTGATACAAGTTGTACGAAACTAATACAGTTAAGACAAGCTATATTCGTTACGCGTCTGAATACAAGTAATATAAGCCGGTAACGATTGAACAATAGCTATGAATGGTAATTAGGTAAACTATAATTATTAGCCTCTAAACTATAATGCTTTATGAAAATTCATCTTACATTTATCAGTTAACCTTAATTTATACTACTAAGATGAGACAATAAAGATCTTAGATAACATGCTAAATCATAACTTTATGATCCGTATAGGATTTCACGAGAGGAACTTAGATGTTTATATGACAAATTCTTTGCATTTTCATCTGCTTTTGATATTAAAAGTAATTCAACGTTATTACACCAAAGAAAGATGACGTCCATTAGAACCCTTTTATTCGAATGATCACTCAACTATCCCAAATTATCTTCTAAAGTCACTTTACTTTCGTTTGTAACAACAAAGTCACTGAACTATACCTATTGCACTCAGAAGGTCACTCAACTAGATTTTTCAAATTTTGGATTGCCAAATACCTATTTTACCCTCTAAATTATAAACATTTATCTTCTTTTTTTTTTAAAAAAAACTTTTTAATATTATAATTTTCTCTTTTAATTTATATTATAGACTTACCTATAGAATAAATAAATATTATTTATAAATTAAAAATAGAAAGTATTTAAGCATATATAATGCTAGAATAACAAAATAATGAGCATAGTTAAAAAAATTAATTAGAATAATTTGTTAGTAATAATAATTTTAGTATTAACAACAAAAATTTAAATTTATTTATACAATTTAGAATGAAAGAAAATAAAGGTTGTAAAATATATTCCATGCACGTAATATAAAAATAATTATTTAAATAAAGGTACTATTATAATATACATTATATTCTTAAAAATTATGCTCAACTATATTATATATTTTTCATGCACAAATTAACATAGCATATTTTACCCGATACAGATAGTCCCCCTGCTTTCCGGTGATACAACTTTGTGTCGTCGGAAAGTTGGTAGAAATTATAATATAATTGAGCATAATTTTCAAGAATATATAATGTATATTATAAAAATATTTTTATTTAAATAATTATTTTTATATTACGCGCATAGAATATATATTTTACAATATTTATTTTCTTTCATTCTGAATTGTGCAAATAAATTTTTGAATATTTGTTGTTAATACTAAAATTATTATTACTAACATATTATTCTAATTATTTTTTTTACTATGCTCATTATTTTGTTATTCCAGCATTATATATGCTTAAATACTTTTTTTTAATTTATAAATAATATTTATTTATTCTATAGGTAAGTCCATAATATATATTAAAAGAGAAAATCATAATATTAAAAAGTTTTTTTTTTAAAAAAAGAAGATAAATGTTTATAATTTAGAGGGTAAAATAGGTATTTGGCAATCCAAAATTTGGAAAATCTAGTGGAGTGACTTTCTGAGTGCAATATGCATAGTTCAATGATTTTGTTGTTACAAACGAAAGTAAAGTGACTTTAGGAGATAATTTGAGATAGTTGAGTGACTATTTGAGTAATTGACTCTCTGAAAAGGATACTGAAACCAGATATATAAATCAATAGTAGAAAAAACTTATACTCCTACATTTCACTTGCAAACAGTTAGGCAGAGAAAGCTGGTCATAAAGCTAATCAGGTCTTAATTTAGTACATGTAATCTGCTCTTGCTGAGATAGTTTCGCAAGCATCAGCTCACAATTTTGATTAAAAAAGTAATTTTCTCCTCTATATTCAGTAGATATTTTCTGTCAAAATGCCAAAATAATATTAATTTCATCCCAGTCCAAATGAGAGAGACCACAAAATACGACCACAATCCATTTCATATAACAGTAAAATTGTAAAAACATGTAGTCTCGTAGCTTCATATCCATCTCACAAGGTCACCATATCTTTCTTCTTTTTTTAATCCTAACAAATATATTAGTTTGACATTTTCCTTGACAATTCGATACCATCAAGTCGATACCTTGATAAACTAAAAGCCAAGATTCTCTGGCATTATAAAGCATGATCATTGTACCTCGAACTCAATTCTATCTCCTGTAGCCTGGATGAAATATCCACTATTAGAAACAGGGGCGGCTCAATAAATATGGAGGCCTAAAGCAAAATTTCAGTGAGAGGCCTTATTTTTTATATAAAAAAGAAAAAAATTCATATGTAATTTCATTTAAATTCTATATTTATAGCTTTTCTTATGCAAAGTTATTAATAATTTTATCTAATCTATTTGATTTCTCTTGAGATATACCTTCTAATTATGGTTTTTATTATTTGCTAAAATTTTATCAACGGCACGTTGTGGGATTGTATTAAGGTTTCAACCTTTTTTTTGAATTACGAATAATAATCGAATTCTTTCTTAATTTATGGTCTAGAAAATAATTCCCAATATATAAAAAAAATCTCAATTTATGATCAATAATCTAATCTTACTTTTTTACAATGAAAATCTGTAATTTCTCATTTAAAATACTAAATATTCTTCTAAATATAAATTACTAATATACTCCCTCCGGTCCAAAATAAGTGATTTTTTGGCCTTTTTCTTGTGGTCCAAAATAAGTGATTTTTCCTGATTTCAAGAATGTATTAATTATTTTTTTCCTACATTGTCCTTGGAGTAAATAGTGTTGGAATATGTGTTAGGAGTGTTTATGTGAGATAGTAAAGGTTAATATGGTCAATTCTATTGTTAATTAATGTTAATAGGCGGATTTCTTAATTTGTGTGAAAACATCCAAAAAATCACTTATTTTGGACCGAAGGGAGTATAACATATTAGGAAAATTTGGGGCCCCAAAAATTATGAGGCCCAAAGCAGCTGCTTTAGCAGCTTTACCCTTGGGCCGGCCCTGATTAGAAATAAATCTCCATACACAGTGATGGTGTTTCGTTATATCCAGATCAAACATTGATGTTGCAAAGTCAGGTGTTTAGGTTGATTAGTCTGATGAAGTTCGATTAGTTGCTCAGAACCAAGTTTGAACAATAGAGTTATTCTTGCAAGAAACATACCATGTGTGGGTGTCTAAGTACTGACATGCTGCTGATGTTCCGAGCTTGGTCTCTGGTTAATAGAAGTCTAACATGCGAAATGCCCCTCCAACTCTCTCCAAGTGCTGGCTTGGAAGTACCTTTCTCACCGGCCACCATATGATTGGTGACCTAGCACAGAAGGATAAATATTATAATGTGGTTCACAAATAGGATATCTAGCAAACTAAATGCCTATAGTGAAAGTAGAACGAAAATACTCCATTACTTATGGAGAAAAGTTCGGGTGGACGATATGGGGTTATATGAATTTAATTACTCCCTCCGTTTCAAAAAGATTATCTTGGTTTGGCTTGACACAAACTTTAATAAAGAAGGGAAGACTTTTGAGATATGTGGTCTTAAATAAGTCATATCATATGTGTGAGTAAAACTTTTAAAACTTGTAGTCTGAAACCTGTCATAACATTTGCGTGGTTACTGATACGCGGCGCCTTCCTGAGATTCCTTGGAAGGGCGACGTACGGCTAGGCAACTGATGTCAGTCCAGTTGCTGTCCGCCAACTGAGGTCCCCTCCGTACGCTAGACGAGATTGTCAGTGCCGTACGGGAAAACCAATGTCAAGAGCAATTGAGAGAACAGAAATGAGAATTCAGAATGAAAGAAAGCTAGATTGCATTAATGAAAGCTATTACAGAAAAGCAACGCGGTGTCGAGGGGGAGAGACACCAGTACAGAGAATTGCTTGCTTGCTAGAAAGTTTTGATTGCTTGATCCCCCCTAATAGTACTTAAAAAAAAATAAACCAAAGTTACAGGAGTAGACCTAATTAAGCTAGAGAAACATAATGGAAGTGCATGAAATAAACTACTCTATATTTACAATGAAAATGACTTAGTTTTCTATAAGGCAGCAGCAGGCCCGTTGTCAGCAGCAGTGTCTTTGGCTATCACGGTCTGCGCGCGCGGCGCTGTTGGCTTCTGCCTGCGGCATGGCGCTCGCGAGGGATATCGGTGGGGCGACAGAGGCACCTGCGCGCTTGTCACTTGGCGCGGCCAAGACCACGGGGCCGTCCGTGGCGCTAGGCATTGGGAGGTTCGCTAGGACGCCACGGGGCGCGCCCAAGGGGTCATGGGGCATGGCTGGAAAGCCGCCCATGACATGGTTACACACGCTTCTTATTAAGGAAATATTAAAAGGTGCCAATCTTTTTTAAAGAGACTAATCAGGAAATAGTGTCAATCTTTTTGAAAGAGAGGAAGTAGAATAAACTTGTTGACTGTAATTTGAAATCTGTGGATCAATACAAAACCGAAGTTCCTTTTAGAAGATCTAACCCATTAATAGGTTCAAATGTCAAGTATATAACAACTTGACGCGTTCAAGTTTCTGGCTGATGTGCCTAATACACTGATCCAGTTAAACGAAAATCAATTCCATCAGTTGAAAAAGCGCATTAGAAGACAAAAGATGATACCCCATAGAGAATGAACAACGCTGCAGCAAAGAGAACATGCTAATGCTATGTTACTGCCAAACTTACCAAAATGCAGATATCATGTTCATGTGCTAATCGTTTTAGTAAAAATCCCACTGAAACCATTAAAGCATGTCCTGATTCACGCAAAAACTTTAGTTGTTACTTCGGGTGTCAGTAGTCAAGCAGGTAGTTTTGACATACGGAATTAAACTTAAGTTTTCTACTTCAACAAACAATTCACACATATGAAACAGATTACACAGGCAAAGCTTCTATCATTTCTCCACTATTTTTGTTCCCTCATTCAACAAAAGTAAATTGACAAATCTGTGGACATGATACCGCAGGGGAAAACCTAATCATCTGCCTATAGACGGAAGAAGAAACTCAGGATAAAATTAAATTTATTTGGAAAAAATGAAATTCAGAAAAGCAAGATTAATATCAGTGTAGGAATTTGCACGTTTACTACTTTATTCCCATTTAACATCTTTTTCATAAGCAATTGTCCATCAGATACCTAGAAACAAGTTTGCACTAGGATAGTAGATAGCAGAAACAACAAATCGGTGAAAAAAATTGTAGGAGAACTCACAAATGTTGCATTATGTCTGAGAGCATATATCAACAACTAGGTTTCAATCCCAAACTAGCTGGAATATAAATACTAGAGGAAAAAAAAACAACTAAATCTAAACCAATTAGAATTTGTAGTTTCGTCAACCAATGAACTACATTAAAGAAAACAAAACAAATATTTCTTAAAATAAAGAAACTACAACTTAAATCTCAAATTGCTTAAGAAAGTAAATACTAGTAAAAAGGATAACTAAAAATTACTACCATAAAGTTATCATTTCATCTTTTAGTGAAAAATTACCTTGTGCACCACCTCCTCCAAGAATTGGTGTAATGAGTGATGATATTGAGTCAATGATAATCATCCGTATATGCTGATCTACCTGCATATCATACCCTCGGAAGTGAGTGCCCTGAGGACTCGTACCCAATCCATGGTAATAGGGAAAAGGAGATGAGATGAGAGTAGAGAAATTTTAGCAGTGTATTTCCAAAAACCTGAGATATGAGATTGTTCTTTAGCTGATGAAGCACTTCAAACAGTGTAAAAATGTCAAACACTGACAAGCATACTATGTTGTTCATTACTTGTTGAAGGGCCTTGTCCACCTACAGAAAGAGTTAAATGTCAGAGAGGGAAGACGGTATTGAAAAGTTGGTTACAGCAACTTGCATAATAAATCTCCAGAGCCGTATTATTCATGCTGGACAAACGTTAATGTGTACAGTACATCTCCAGTTAGTAGATATTCAGTTGCATATGTAACTGAATTTGGGACAAGAGGAAGCCTAATCTATGCGACCTAATAAGAGAATTGAAAGTCCTATTGGAGTATGAATCTGTACAAATCAGTCCTTGTTGGTTCACATGTCAGTAATAGAAAGGAAAAAGTAAAATAATCAACTTCTAACTTCAACTTCTTTTGTAAATCAGCAGTGCAAAGAAACTTCTTACAGCATAGTTCTCCTATTTAAATTCATTCAGCAAGAATTATGGAACTGTCATAAACTATAATCAGATGGTTCTGTGCCGCTTATAATGTATCATCTACGTGATACCATGATTTGATGACAGAGCTAGAGTTATTATAATGATGAAGGAAATCAACTAGAAAGAACTACGAAAGAGAGAAGAATGTAACGACCCGGCCGGTCGTTTCATGAGTTACCGCTCCATTTCCTCCATTTTTGCTTCTTATTGCCTTGTTCAACGGTATTATGTGTTATCGGGTTGGTTGGCTCGGGTTCGGAAAGGTTTTGGGTGAGGTTTGAAACACTTAGTCTCTTTTGAGTAAGCTTAAGTTGGAAAAGTCAACCGGATGTTGACTTATGTGATAAAGGGCTCGGATGTGAGTTCCGATGGTTCAGATAGCTTCGGGAGGTGATTTGCGACTTAGGAGCGTGATTGGAATGTGTTTTGGAGGTACGGGGCAGATTTAGGCTTGAATTGGTGAAGTTGGAATTTTGGCGTTTTCCGGTTGATATGTGAGATTTTGATATAGGAGTCGGAATGGAATTCCGGGAGTTGCAGTAGGTCCGTCATGTCATTTGGGATGTGTGCGCAAAATTTCAGGTCATTCGGACGTGGTTTGATAGACTTTTTGATCAAAAGCGGAATTCGGAAGATTTTGGAACCTTAGACTTGAATTCGATGTGATTTGGTTGATTCGATATTGTTTGAGGTGTTTTGAAAATTGATATAAGTGTGAATAGTGGTATATGACTTGTTTGTGCTTTTGGTTGAGGTCCCGGGGGCCTCGGGGTGATTTCGGATGGTTGACAGAGAGTTTGGAGTTTTGGAGAAATTGCAGAATTTTTCTGCTCCTATTGTTTCCGCACCTGCGGATTGGGGACCGCAAAAGCGGTCAAGGACGCGAAGGGCAGGAGCCGCAGATGCGGAGTGCTCAGCACACCTGCGATGGCGCAAGTGCGGTTATTTGATCGCAGATGCGGACTTGGACTTAAAGTGAAAACCGCATATGCGGTATTTCGACCGCAGGTGCGAAAAGCCTGGGCCAGAAAGTATAAAAGGATTCCTTCGCGATTTTTGAGTTATTCTTCACCATTTTCATTCGGGTTTGAGCTTGAGGAGCTATTTTGAAGAGGGATTCAAGGGATAACACTTCGAGGTAAGATTTTTGAACCTAATAATCGATCCTATGGCATTATTTCACTGATTTGGCTTGGAAATTAATGGAAATTAAGGGTTAAAAATTGGGAAAACTAGGGCTTGAGACTGGAGACCTTTGAGCAAGGTTTGAGGGTCATTTGTAGTCGGATTTTAGTACTTTTGATATGTATGAACTCGTGGGGAGATAAGGAGTCTATTGATGTAAATTTTATCGAATTTCGAGGCGTGGGCCCGGGGGTCGGGTTTTGGTTAATTTCGGGATTTATGTTGTAATTTGATTATTTTCGCATGGGCTTCGTCCCTTAGCATATTTTGACTTCATGATTCTGATTTTGGATAGATTCGACGCGAGATGAGGCCGATTCGAGGGGCAAAGACATCGCGGGCTAGAGTTTGGACCAGATTGAGGTAAGTAATGATTGTAGATGTTGTCGTGAGGGTATGAAACCCCGGATTTTACATCGTTGTGCTATTTTGAGGTGACGCACACGCTAGATGACGAGCGTGAGGTCGTGCACCGTTGGGGATTGTGACTTAGTCCATCCCGAATGACCGTTTTACTGCGTATTTGACTGAAAACTGTTTGCTATCATCATGTTTTGGGTTGAATGCCATATTTGGGCCTCGTGCCAACTGTTTTGGACCTTTAGGGAATTTTTACTACTATTCTCACTGTTTTGACCTTATACTTGTACTCAGTCATGCTATATTCTACTGTTTTTATAACTCAGCCATGTTTATACTGTTTTGACATCTTAAATGATATTTTGAGCTGAGCATCATATTTTTACTGTGCCCGAGTGGCATTTAGAGATTTCTGACTAAGTAGGGCCGAGAGCCTGTGTTGTGAGGTTATTATGGGATCGGGCTGCACGCCGCAGTAGTGTTGTACTGATTTATGATTATAAGGCCGAGGGCCTGAGTTGTTATGCCACGTGGTGGCTTGATATGAGGCCGAGAGCCTATTGATTATTCCACGAGATGACTTGATATTGTGCTTGGGTCGTAAGGGGCCCCTCCCGGAGTCTGTATACCCCCAGTGAGCGCGGGTACCCAGTGAGATATGTGATATAGCCCGAGGGGCTGAGGTTGTTCCATGTTATTGCCCGAGGGGCTGATTTCTGTTGGTATTGTGCCCGAGGGGCTGATTTTATGTGTTTATCTTTTCTCGCTGCTTTTCATTCACCTATTTAACTGTTAAAAGATGTTTTAAAGAGGTATTTACTGAACTGAGGTGTTTTTACAAGTTTTCACTGTTTTGTTGCATTGTATTGATTTTATACTGCCTCTTTATAGCATGTTGTTGTGCTTTACGTGATTTCTTATCTCTCAGCTGCTTTTACTTTTATTACTCACTGAGTTGGAGAACTCACTTTACTCCCTGCACCCTGTGTGCAGATTCAGGAGCTTTGGGTCCCGCCAGTGAGGGTTGATTGCTCCTAACAGGCTATTCGGAGTCCACTAGGTAGCTGCTAAGCGTTCGCAGCCCAGTGTTCTCCCTCCTATTTTACTTCCCTTGTTCTAGTTCTGTAATAGACTGTATAAACCCTTTCATACTCTTAGACTTATGTTAGATGCTCATGACTAGTGACACCCGATGTCGAGCTGTGTTGGTTTCCGCAAATTGTACTAGTTCACTTTTATTTTGGGATTTTTAGCATGATAAAGACTTAAATTGTGTTATTATAATTGTTTAAAATGAATTGGGTATTGTGTTGGCTGACCTTGTTTCACGATAGGCGTCATCACGACCGGGTACGGATTTAGGGTCGTGACAAAGAAGGAATTGACTTTCCAACAATTCTGCAAGTACTTTTTCTGTTCACCACCACAAATGTAAGATAGAGAATGTGGAGTCATACACAAAAACATCTAGTAATCTAATCAGAAGTTTCAGGACTACCCCTAACTTTTACTGGATACTTTGGTGTGCCAATCAACGCAGATTTCTGAAACTACAACCGAGTTGTATCCTACCTAGGTAGCAACAAATAATAAAATTTGGCAAGGAGGGAAATCACAGATGAAAAAATCTATTCATTGTTTCTTTGGTAAGTTTAGACAATGAGAACATAATACGAAGAAATAAGGTTAATCCAAAAGGCTAGAAACATGTTTGACCTCATAAGCAGAAGGATCTGATGTCTGAGTGACAAATTGAGCAAGACGTTTTGAAGAGAAAGAATTTCCAGAGTCCAAGAAAATGATTTTGCCCCAGCCTTTTGCAACTCTTGAAGCAGCTCGTAAGCAAATCTGGACCCAAATATAATCTTGAATCAGTAACGGCACTGAAAGCCCAAAGAGGCTTCAAAGATGAAACAAGCTTCAATAATTCAATACTCAGAAATTTATCTAACTTCAAAGAAACAAAAATCAGAAATCAGCACAATCTCCACAGATATGTCAAATAGAATTTGCATTATCAATACACTCTTACTAGTGTTTTACCGGAGGATGACGGGCTAACTAGCTCAGTCAGATGTCCCTTCTTTAATCCACCATGAAGAAACACATCTATTCTGGCCAAGAGTAGTCCTATTCATCAGTTATCTACTGCCAAAGAAGCTATAAAAGTATCGGCGTTCAAGCATTATTACCTTCTACATCCAGTAGGTAAGGAGCTTTTATTCTGTAAAGCATCATCCAACAACTCCTGACCATTTACCCATGGTTGATGCTGACCATTAATGATAGTCAGAACTTGAGTGATGCCCTACTTTACACGTAAAAGGAGATACAGATCATCATAGGAATACCAAAAGACAGAGATATGAAATGAAAACTACATATGTGGCAGATCAGACCTCCTTCAATCTCTCCGAATTATGATAATGTTCGGTTGAAATCACTAATACGTAAAGATCACGTAGAAGAAAATCTTCAACTGCAAAAATAGAAGAAGAAAAATAATATGACTGATAGACATAAACTTCATATTTATCCATTATCCTACTTTCTATTTTAAAGCGTCCCAGAATTGTGTCCACACTCTCAGGAGTACTTTTTCTCTACACTTCTCAATACTTCTTCATTGTTAAATATATATAGGGTGATTTGGAACCCACTTTATTCTTTAAAGTCTTCAAAAGGTCAACTTTTATCTCCACTTCTGGATCCATGATAAAACTTCAACTTTTAGCTTAATAGTCGTATGCAAACCAAATGGGACACCAAAAATGGAAAGGATGGCGTACAATTCAATTGTTAACACTATAATTATTTCACAAGGATCCAAAAGATTCAGTAAACTGTCCATTCTGGGCATCAAATTCTTTCAATCATCTCTCCGAATTCTTTAATAAAATTTATACAGGTAAAATGGAAATGCGGGGTGGTGTCAAATATGAGATCCAACCTTAACAATCATAAATGAATGGGAAACCCCCCCCCCCCCCCCCAACCCAACCCAACCAGTGTTTTGTTATTTTTTTCATAAGTGAGAAACTACCCTTCTCCATACAAATACTATGCTTTTACCCGCGGCAGGGTTCAAACTCGTGACATGCACCGTTTTTGTCATTTTAAAGGTAGTACTATTACTCTAGGTCATCTCTCCTCACACTATCCAACAAACTGCCTAAACATGAGCAAATCCAGCAATCTCTGAAAGAGAAAAAGGAAGAATTCCTGACATATTTGTAACATATGCTCCTTCCATTATCCATATCAGAAGTATCATTTTGATCTAAAATGAGCTTCCCTCTATATGAAAGTGTTACTAGGGATGGCAATAGGGCGGTGCGGGTGCGGGGCGGGGCAGGTTGAAACTGATTTTTTCAAAATCTAATGCGGAGCGGTTGCATTGATGGTTTGCAGGTTTAGTACTAACATTTAACGGGCAGAATGAAGAATAGAGTGTTAGTACTAAATCACTATAGACCATATAAAATAAGGCAAGCAATAAATATAGAGTGACCGGAGAATCTGACTATGCAATTATTACTGTTAAATATACAAGATATTTATCTATACGTGCCAAGGACATTGTCCACTACTGTTATATCATATTTCACTTAAAATATCAGCAAACGTTGAGTTTACATATTATATTTATAAACTAGTTATAAAAAAAAGTTATGATGCATATTTGTTATACGGAAATTTATCAAGTATAACTTAATACGTAAATTTAGGTATACGATATGCTGACATTATGCTTTTCAAATCATTTATTTTCCAGTTTTTATGCTTTTCAGTTATTTAGTTCTTATGCATTTCAGTTTATTTATTTTCTATTATAATCTCTGAAATTAAAAATATAATATTTGGATCCATATGAGGGATTTAAGAGGCTGAAAAAAAATGAAATATTAAACTTGTATTTTTTAGCAAAAATAACAAAATGGAAAAAAAGAAGAAGAAGTTGTGGGGCAGGGGCAGGGCGGGGCGGGGCGGGGCGGGGCGGGACGGGTTAAAATTTTGTGGGTAGAATGAAACTGCTCTAGCCACATAAGTTTACAAAATCAGTTGTTTATAGCAGTAGAGTAGCCACCTCCCTTCGTCATAAAATTACATTGTGTAGCTGTATATACTATATATTGAATCCGCTTTAGCTTATTCATGTATTTTACTTCTTTGTATTTTGACACCCCTTAGTGAAATTCCTTGCTCCACTGCTGGTCTACAATATAAGGCTAAGTTGCATACAAAGTTGTAGCCTAACAGGGTTTTCTGCGCAGAATCATATCAGCATGAAAATGTAGGAACACCGTTGGTCCTCTTACAAAATAAATAACAACCTGACGCTCAAGTCTTAGCCCTTGCACACGCGCGCGCGCGCATATTTATATATGGAATCCCCATAAAATGAAGGGGGGGGGGGGGGGAAGAGGTAAAGAGGACATTGCAAGATTAACACAACTATAAAAGCAAACCCAAGAGATTGAGTTAATCAGAGCTAGATGAGGAAGATAATATCATAGAATAAATCGGCTCTTCAAACTGATAAGAACAAGTTGGATAAAAATGAGAGTATAGAAAAGGGAACCTGAATAAATGACGTGAGAAGCACAGAAGTCGCGGAAATTGGAGTCGATTAATGGGTAATCGCACTCCATTGAGCTCAATAATGGCATCTGTTTTGAATTTTTCTCTTCCCAATTCCAATTCCCCAAACTAACAATAGTGATACGCAATTTCAATCTTTGGCGGGTTATTATTATGAAGATGGAGGGAACGCCATGAAATGAAATGAATAATATAGTACTTAAAAAAGGAGGAAAATGCAGTGGAGCCCTTTAACTTTTTAACTTTCGTCGACTGGCCCCTGTAAGTCTTTAACTATTCTCTTTTGGCAACTTAACCCTTTGTTTTTTCTTTTTTTGGTTAGCACTTGTTGTAGAGAGGTTGCCACAAATAACTATTCTCCACTTCCAACCAAGAGGTTGTGAGTTCGAGTCTCCCCAAGAGCAAGGTGGGAAGTTATTGGAGGGAAACTGATTTTAAATAATTGGCAACTTATTTGTTTGGTTTTGAAGATATAACTCCTGAAGTCTAAGACCTTGAATTAAAGAGCAATGTGGTAATTAATTTTATTTGGTTTGAAGCTGCAAGTGGAAATTATTTACTGATTATATAAAGAAGCTCATATATGATCAAGATATCTTTTTCTCTTAGGTTTGTAAATTTTAAGTTTTTAACTATGGTAAATGAGGCAATGTATAATACTTGTGGAACTTAAAGAGAAACCAGTACCATCAAAATCAGAAACAAAAAGGCAACCAACAAAAGATAGTATACTAAACTAGGATATTATTATTAAAACTGAAGACCAAAGATACTCTTGTTCTCAACACCAACAGAAAAATCCGAATCAAAAACAGTATACCATCAATTCCAAAACCTCTATACTACTAATACTATAACTGTTATTACTAAGTTTATTAAAGGATTGAAACTTTGATCAATCAAATCAGTTTGGTGGTGGGAAGAAAATCTCTTCTGCAGTCCTCTTTGAGCTGAATTGCTTCTCTACATCTGGTGAAACCTTGAATGCAGCCTGCAGCACTTGTGGCGATAACGCCTTCCACACTGAAGTCCTTCCCGCCAAGTGAGTGAAAATTGGACTGCCACATAAAAGTTTGTTAGAAATCGGTTAGGTAAATTAATATATTGACAAAACAACAAAATACATACTTAGGGGTAGTGATGATAGAGAACCAGTCCATGCCATCAGGATCACCAATTTTGGAGACAACAAAGAACCTTGGAACGATGAAGAGATTGCCCGCCTTGATGTGTGTTTCAAGAACGCGCTTACCATCAGGGCCAACAACTTGTACTCGGCCACTGCCTCTAACAATGTAAGTGACCTGAAGAGCTGAGTCACATGAAAAACCGGGAGAGCACATAGCACTTCCATTCAACCTCACAAGATCAGCACCAAGTCCCACTTCGCCGACCAAAGGCAAGTTCTTGATGTTCAAAACAACCACCTTTCCACCACCTTAATGTCAACATCCAAACAGTTGAGAACCATGTCGTCCCTGTGGCCTTGCTTAGGCTCAGGCATTTGGAAGCCAGCGTCAAGCTTCACGATACCCTGAGCAGTTTGGGAGCTAACAAGAGTTTTAGCAACACTCTCTTCTACATTCCATGCCCTGCTAACAAACTCGGTTGAAAAACCGGTGAAAATGCCATTCGACCCGGTCAAGTACATGTCTGTGAATGAACCAGCTTTGTGTGCAGTTTTGGTATCACCAAGGCTCTTTGTTGTACCACCATGTTACAACACCAAAAGGGAGGGCTAAAGCATCGCCCGTCTTGATTACTAGCACCTTCTCTTCTTTCTCTGGTAGAACAATTCCAGCAACTCTAGAACCTGATAAAATTCAGAAAAATATTCAGAAAAGAACTCAATTAGCAGATCTTGTAAGCTACATATACCATACACCATCACAAATTAGGCATCAAGAAACTTAAGGATTAAATCTTTAATTCAACCGCACCAATCACAGGAATTAACAAGAAGCATATACCAAAAGAGCAAGATGTTCAAATCATGGAAACCGATAAAACATGGAGTTGATCAAAAGTTTTTGCTGATTTCTAGTGTATTTGAACAATTTACACAAAGTAACCAAGTAATATAGATGAAAACAAACTTCCAATTGTGTCATATTTGGATATAAGGCTCTACTAATTGGTTATAATTACTAACTATCAATACTCAAAGTAGTATGATCTTAACAATTTAAATCATAATTACTCACAAACCATGTCAAAATAAAAAATAAAAAAACAGATTTACAGTAAAAGAGGGATCAAATTCTTAGACCTTAACATCATAATCAAGTAGTATTAAATAGAACACACAAGACCTAGATCCTAAACTAAACCTTCAAAACCAAGACTAATAACCAAACCCCCAAATCAAACAAGTAAACTCCATTAAAAGTAACTAAATAAATAAACAAATAAAACCCCACCAATCAAAGCAAAACGCAAGTAGGATTATAGAATTCTAAAACAATGGAGTAGTAAGTATTTACTCTAAAGAACAAAATTGAACAAAATACCACAAATCAAAACAAACCCATTACAATTCATAAGCAAAAAAAAAGTCAAAAAACACCAATAAAACCCAAGTAGTAGACATAGAATTCTAAAATAGTAAACACAAAAACCCCAAATTATGATCATAACCCAGAAAAAAAAGAGACCCAAATTTTACCTTGAAGAACATAGGCAACTTTAGCAGAATCAGAGTAACGAGGCAAAGCAAAACCATTTTTGGAAAGAGCAAGTTTAGCACCACCAATATTGCCTTCTTTCAACATCGGCAGATCATTAGGACACCATGCATGATAAGAACCACCATCTCCTCCGTACACTTGCTTTGCCAACTTTGGTGTAAGATCAAGATCCATCTCTCTTTCTTTCTTTTTGTATTATAAAAGAATCTCTCACTGAAGGAAAAAAACAAGAAAGCTGTGTAAAAGCTGAGTGCTTTGTAAAGTGAACGAGAGTTTGGTATTTATAGAGGGGAATTTGTCAAATTACTGTATTATAGCAGCTGGATTAGATTGTTGAGAGAGGAAGAGAGAAGGAAGATGAAGATTGAATTCTTCCTTTATGTTCGTTATCACGGGCACATCAAATAACCAACCTTATTTAACCAATGGTAACTATCTTTCTTATTTCTTTTGCCTTCTAACTTCTACAAATTACACTTTAATCCCCTAACTCTTAAGTAGACTAAGTAACACAAAACTCCCCTCAAGCTGGAGAGTGGAAAACATCCAACACTCTCAGCTTGGACATAAGAAACTGGTGTTGTGCAGTGCCTAAAGCTTTAGTCATCATATCTGCAACTTGTTCCTTTGTTGATATGTGTTCTGCTGCAATCAACCCACTCTTGAGCTTTTCTCTCACAAAATGGCAGTCTATCTCTATGTGTTTAGTCCTTCATGATAGATAGGATTGGCAGCAATCTGTAGGGCTGCTTTGCTATCACAAAACAACTTTACAGGTTTTTGAACCTCAATCCCAAGCTCTGTCATCAATCCTGTAAGCCAAACTAATTCAGATACCACAGCTGCCATGCTCCTGTACTCAGCTTCTGCTCACAGTTTGTTGCTTTTTTGACTTCCATGAGATCAAGGAATCACCCATCTTCACCACATATCCTGTAACAGACCTTCTTGTGTTTGGGCATGCTGCCCAATCTGAGTCACAATAGGCTGTCACTTGTTCTATAGGTTCCCTTTTCAGCAGTATTCCTCTTCCTGGACATCCCTTAGTATATTTTACAACTCTTAGTGCTGCCTCTAGGTGTGATTACTTTGGATGCTGCATAAACTGACTCAACATTTGAACAACAAAGCATATGTCTGGCCTTGTGATGGTCAGATATATTAGCTTTCCTATAAGCTTCTGATATCCTCCTATGTCCTGTAACACTGCATCTTCTGTTGCTCCTACATGCTTGTCATAGTCTACTGTGGTAAGCTTTTGGTTCTGTTCAAGTGGAGAACTTGCAGGTTTTGCTCCACTCAACCCAACTTCAGAGATCAGACTAAGGGCATACTTCCTTTGATTAAGAAGAATTCCCTTTGATGATCTCATGATCTCTATACCTAGGAAGTATTTCAACTCCCCTAGATCCTTCACCTTAAAATTCAAGTGTAATGTCTCTTTTGCTGCCTGTATCATAACTTCAGAACTGCCTGTGATCAATAGGTCATCAACATAGACCAGTATAATCACTACATCTGCACCACTCTTCTTGGTGAAGAGTGAATGGTCATAGGCACTTTGCAGAAACCCAGCCTTTGTCAAGGCATCAGTTAGCTTAATGTTCCACTGTCTGGATGCCTATTTAAGGCCATACAATGACTTGGTTAATTTGCAGACCTTGGACTCCCCCTGCCTATGAAAACCTTGGGGCAGATGCATGTAAACCTCCTCATAAAGGTCTCCCTGTAAGAAGGCATTATTAACATCCATTTGAAAAAGAGGCCAACATTTTGAGGCTGCCAAGCTAATCACTGTTCTGACTGTCACCATCTTTGCAACTGGTGAGAAGGTCTCATGATAGTCTAGGCCTTCTTGCTGTGTGTAGCCCTTTGCTACAAGTCTTGCTTTAAACCTTTCTATCTCCCCGGTTGCCTTGTATTTGATTTTGTACACCCACTTGGATCCAATAGCCTTTTTGTCACAGGGCAAATCTACTATTTCCCAGGTATTATTATCCTCCTGAGCTTTGATCTCATTTTTCATAGCTTCAACCCATCTAACATCTTGTGAAGCTTCTGAGAATGACTCTGGTTCTACCTCTGTTGAGATTGCTGCCACATATGACTGATAAGTATTTGGGAGATGGTCATAGGACACATAGTGAGAGATAGGATATGAAATATGAGTGACAGAGTTTCCAGTGTAGTAATCCTTTAGCCAAATAACAGGTTTGACCCCTCTAGCTGATCTTCTAAGTGGAACTGGTGGTATAGACTGAACTATGGGAAGAGCTGCACCATGTTCAGGCTGAGACAGTTGAACATTGAGAGGTTCTGGCAGAGCTTGAGGCATGTGATCTTGTTGCTCTTCTTGTGTCACATTTCCTGGTGCAAGTATAGAAGTCTCAGACTCAGATTCTGGAGTGGTTACATGTTCTTGGGAAGGTGCAGCTTGGTCAGTTTGATCAGATGACACTCCCCTGTCATTTCCCTCAGTAGT